TGCCTGCGCGGCTTGCCCGCCCGAGTCCAGCCCCTCGGCCGCAGCTCGCCTGCGCCGTGCTCCTCGACCACGCGGTACCCAGGGCCACCACTGCACATCCAAACCCTCATCAATTGCTGAACTCCATGATTCTCACCACCATGGCAGCGTACCGACTACCGCCCGATAGAGATAGTTCCTTAAAACCAAAGCCATGCCTCGGACCCCCCCTCACGGCGACCGACGTATAGCTTCCTTTGGGAGGGGAATATGATGAGGGTAATAAATACGATAAGACTCGGGGTGACGCCAACTGGCCCAGATGACGCCCCGCGTCTCTGTTGGGCTGACGACACCTGGTCAACGCGGACCGGAACGCCTACCAAGGCACATTAACACCCCGCTCAGGCTCGACCCCTCACGCCACGCCAACGACGATGTCAGACGCCACTAGGAGTATGATCCTGCTCTCTGCGTGCAGGCACATCGGGCAATGGTAATTCTCATTATAAAAACACTCGCGCTATGAGAAAAAGGGGGAGGGAGAGAACAAAACAGAAAAGAGGGAGAGAACAAAGCAGAAAGGAGGGAGATAACAAAATAGAAAAGAGGGAGAGAACAAAGCAGAAAGGAGGGAGAGAACAAAATAGAAAAGAGGGAGAGAACAAAACAGAAAAGGGGGAGAGAACAAAACAGAAAAGATGGAGAGAACAAAACAGAAAGGAGGGAGAGAACAAAACAGAAAGGGGGGAGAGAACAAAATAGAAAAGAGAGGAGAAGAAAGAGACGAGAAAAGGGGAAGAAACAACTCCCCTTCTACTTTTCACTAACTTGATCGGAGGGGTCGGGCCGAGCTCCCCCGACCTGACCTGTGTACAGATATAAGGACGAGGCGCCTCCCTCCGCGTGTCCAGGCGAGGAGTTCCCTCCCGGAGGAAGCGGCGATTCCGTCCTGATCGGACCACTGCGGCCGACCACCTCAACGGTCCCGAGGAACGTCCCAAGGAGATCCCCCATCATCCGGATCCGAACCAAGCCACATCAGCCCCGAGGCCACGGCTTAAGGTTGTTACACTAACATCACCTGAGTCGAGCAGGCTACCTAAGCAAAAGTACGAAGAGCTCCCACCAACCCCCTACGATCATCGTCTATAGGGAATCAGCTTATGATCCATATCTATCTTGGCTTTCCAAATAGAACTTGTAAAAATTAATCCTGACACCACGACTAAAGAAAGGGCTACGTCTTTGCATTAATGGTCAGCAGCATGGTTTGCCTTCCCCGCACCCCCTTTTGGATGATCGAAGAATGGACTATTTCCTACTTGGCTCAAAGTGGCAAAAGGAGAGAATGCCATCCCAATGCCCCATCGTCGACTCCAGCCTCAGTACGAATAGTGTAGAAGAGACCCTCATTGATTCAGGTCCTCGTCATCGGGCGCCAATGTATAAATATCAAATCCCAAGCCATACAAGGGCAAGGGCAAGCGAGTGAATACTATACTCTTTTGAATACATCTAACTCATTCCTTCCCCATCTGTATGACATAAGCATCGATGGTTCATGTCGAGACCTCCTCATATCCCGATCTATCACGTAAGATCCCCGGTGTGATTGAAAAGGAGTTACGAGACGACTTCTCCACAGGCAAAATGATCCATCATCCTATATCAGTTCGCTCTCTCCAACGTGTGAGAAGCTCTCTATGCCGACACCACACATCAACTCTCCGCCACGGGCAAAAATCTGCACCTTCGGCATTGAATTAAGCTAAATTGACTCATCAATCGGCGGCCTACACATGGACAACTAGATGATATATTACCGTATGGTGCAAGTCAATCATAATAGGAATTGCCTATTCATATCGATGGACACATCATCCGGGACACTCGACATTAGTATGAACCATAGTGTTACAATCCTAACATTCTCAGATTCGTTGCATGTCTCTACGGTCGATTAATAATCGATGATTTTAAGTAACTATCTCGCAGATTAACTAATTCATCACTTGTAATTTGATGTTCAACCGAGCTCGCCATAAAAAGACCTCATACATGCATCGTTTTCCTCTTTATTGGGTACACTCGAAATGTTTCGCATGTGGCATATAGAAATGACTGGCCGTATTGCACATGCATTGAACTTTTGACGAGTTCAGCGAAGTATATGACGACGGCGGCGAGGGGCGAAGTTTCCTTGCAGTCGAGCGCATACTTTCGACTGCGAGGGTCGAAAGTTTCCTCGGTCGCAGTTGAATGCACGAAGACGATCCCTCGTTTGTGTCGATAAAATAATCGAATCGCCGTTGCTTGTCGAAGAAGATATCTCCTCGTTATCCCGTTGCATCGTGCGAGGTCCGGGAAGCTTCTAGACCGTTCTCATGAAGTATAATTTGACCCGCTAAAGCCACAACGCCGATCCCACCGTAGTCCATAGGCAGTACAACGAACCAGTCCTCTCGTCCTCATCACGTGCCAGCTCAATCTGTGAATTGCGTGCCAAGTTTCTTGAGATCACATCAAACCTTTTCTTCACCCCCAGAATAAGGTTCGACTTCCCCCATCCTCTGCATCGGATCCGACACGCTAGACCTTAGCGATTATTATTCATTAAAAAATAACAAATATTTTTTTTGAGAAATCGAAAAATAACAAATATTCATTAAAAAGGAGCTTTCATTTCAAAAGACCAAAATATCCCTTTCAGGAATAGGCTTAGCATATGGCACCAAAACCTCGCTTCTGAGTGTTTTTATTTTTTGAGACATAAAATTAAATACTATCTGCTTCATAGCGTAATAATCGAACAACAATTTAAATATCAAATACTTGAAGGACAAATATGTTATTTCGAACACTGGTCGGGACAAACCTGTCAACATAATAGAGTAAATAGCTATATACCTCTGACGACTCCCCCTCACGAAGAGAGAGATAGAGAGAGAGAGAGAAAGCCGGATATCGATGGCGACTAAAGAGATGGGAGAAGAGCCCGCGCTGGGGGTGCCCTATGGCTACGCACCGGCGAGCTATTACGGTCAGGGGGCGGCGCCGCCGCCTCCTCCGCCGCCGCCGCAGCAGCAGATGTACTACGTGGGGCAGAACCCGTACCAGGCGGGCATGATCCCGCCGAACGCGGTGTTCGGCGATCCGAAGGGGATCCCGTTGCAGCAGACGATGTTCCGAGACACGCCCGCCCCTTTCCAGTGCGTCTATTGTGGCTCCTCCGGCATCACCACCGTCAGGTTTGGAGCTTTTCTCTCCATCCCAATTCCTCTCCCCGTATGTTTTGGATCGTTTTGTGTTGGATCTTGACTCCGATTGCTGAGACGAACGATCAAATTCTTAAAATCCCGATTTAGTCGGTTATTTTTGGCGATCGGGATGGTTTCTTGGCTTTAATTTGTGTTGTTTTTTCTCTCATGGTGTATTGTCCATGGATCCTCATCTACGAGGTTAAAGATTGCGGCCGATGCTTTAGATTTGGTGTTTGATGTGTTGAGCAATGTTGAATGGCCAGGTCTCTTGTTGGTCAACGCTAATATCTCTCTGAACGAGAAGAACTTTGTGGAATTTCAGGAACTTCCTGCTTCAATCTTTGATTAGTTCCAACAATATGATCGAGCACCACTGGGGCCATCTTTGAGAACTCTCTTTGTTTAGGAAAAAGATGGACCAGATCCCAACAAGAATAGACTAGCTTGCACTTTGATGCTTATCGCTTTTTGGCATTGCATTCATTGATTATTCTCTTCTACGTAGTCTGTAGCTTAACTTATACAGTGATTCTATAATAAGAAAAACCGCTTGTTATGATGTTTGCTCTCAAAAAACATTTTCTCTTCTTCCTCTAACAGTTGAAATTTGTCCTTCGAAGCGATTTTGACTTTGATTTTTTAGGTTTTAAACAGCAATAGACACAATGTAATGTATATAAAAATATTTAGCTTCAGATTAGTAGATTTGAAGTTATAAAAGAGTATCAGATTAATTAGATTAGATGATACACCCTTGTGCATGATAAATTTTTAAACATATTAGAATAGTCGTACACTAAAGATTAGAAAATTTTTAAGAACAATGTATCATTCTATAAGTGAAGAATAACCTAGAGAAGTAGTACCGTACATGGTTAAGATAAATGCACAATGCTCTGGCATCATCATTATTATGCAATAGTTAGTGATTTCGAGGCAGGTGATGCTAGAAACAACAAAGGACGGCACCCCTAGAATTCATCAAAAGTTTGTATTGTCCTGGATCTCTGCCATTTAACATGAAGTTATTCAATCGATTGATCTCTTTTTCAGTATCTCTTTGTTGTGGTAAGGAACCTTCTCTAAGATGAAGGCAAGGAACATGGCAATAACAATAGTTAATGTAATGATTTTGTCCAGAAACTATGATCAATATGCTAAACAGGTGCTATGCACCTGCTGAATCTTTAAATTCTTTTGTACCGAAACTATGATCAATATGCTAAACAGATAGTATTGTAGGATACATCATATTTTTTTAAACTTCTGTGAAGTTTAGTGACTAACCTACACATCCTTCTTCTAAAAAACATGATTTAATCATTGAAAAAATTTATCAAAATTGTTTCTTAGGAGATAATTTTGGAATCACTTTGCTGCTTAGGAGTCCCCCAGAATTTTGGTAGCATCATACCACCATCTCATGCTTCACACAACAAGATTGACCTCAATAGTTCCTTCACAACTTAAATACATAGGCAATGTTATCAATTACATCAAGAAAACATCTTTTATGGATATACAAGGATTAAATGAAGACTCAAATGAAGTTAACATAATTAGATGTTTAAGATTGTCGAAAAGTAATTCCTATCAGTTTAATAATTTTTTCATCCCTATCTGCATGAAGATTCAAAACTAGGTAGAAAAAAAGTCAAAATAAGACTCATCACTTTCTGATATAGAAAACACTATTGTGAACGAAAAATAACCATAAAAGAGAGAGAAATTAAAAATAAAATATGATTTGACCCAAAACTACACTAGTTTTAATCTAAATTATAACTCCAAAGTGGGATTAGTTTGGTCGATGCCTATGTCAAACACTTCCTATGTGTAGCCTCGATTTCTTGTAGATGAAGTTGAAAATTCATTCTTTGATCTTTGATTGCCAACAATTGGTTATGAGTATGCCATAAAATAATAAATTTTTAGAACATAGTGGAAACTTTGATTTTGTTGCTCAATTTTAACATCTTCAACTGAAAATTTGGCAAGTATAATAGTGTTTTTGTATCTTTCTCTTCAACTTGGACCCCTCTGGTGTGAAAAATCTTTGCACCTGAAGGCTCTCGGGCACTATCATCCTCTTTAGGTCTTTATGAACTTCTGTTATGTCTTTACAGCACTTTTCTTCCGTTAGATTTTACTTGTGATCACTTGCATCTAGATCTGGTGCTTCTTCAATAGCAACAAACTTGTGTGGGCACTCATTTCTTGATCTTCGTTTGGGTGCCAAGACAAGCTGTAGATCCTGGTCTTACCCATTCATGGAACTTGTTCTCTGATGCTTTTGTAGAAGCCACACTGTTATTTTTTTCAATAGTTTTGATACATTCCATTCATCTTCTTGCATCACCTTGGAGCTTTGCCTTGATAAATCAGATTCTTGTTGTCACTAATGTGATATGAATTAAGGTATCTATCCAGAGCAGTTAATATTGATATGATTTATGCAAATCCTGCTTGTCACTAAAGAAAGTACATGTCAAGAATGAATATTCATTGAAATGTAGGCTTTGGATCATCCTCAATGATAGCACATATTGACTAAATTAGAGACTCTAGCATCAAGACTGATGTGGAACAAGAAGCTTGAACAATTTTAGAAGATTTAGGCTGCAATAAATATGAGAACAAAACAAAGGACTTGTTGTATTTTTATAATTAAATCTGATTTTCTAAAAAAGAAAAAATCTCATCAAGACTAATCTCAATTCTCTATTTGGTTTTAGTTAAGAACGATTGAGTTTTTTTGACAAACTTGCATAATTTGTAAGGCATTTCGCATACTGAGGACACTTTTGATGCTTGTGTGAAAACTTTCACTGGTACAGATCAAAACCGAGTCTGGCAGCTGTTGTCGGTTGCATGATGCCCTTTATGCTGGGTGTTTGCTTCCTTTGCCCCTCGATGGACTGCCTATGGCACAAATATCATTACTGCCCTAGCTGTGGACAAAAGGTTAAATTCACATCTTTCTAATTAAACTGTTCTTGCATGTGTCATTATTATCGTTATTGTTATTATTATCTTTGTGTTGCTGCTCACGAAGTTCCAATGTCACAGGTGGCCGACTTCAAGAAATCAGACCCGTGTTTAGTCGTGGATATGCCACGTTGGCATGAGGAGAGCTTTGCTGTCCCTGCATGATGAGTTGGTCGTGTGATGTTCATCTTGCTTCACCATCCTTGAACAGTAAGTAGTTCTTCATTAATGGGTCTGTAAGTAAATTATTACATGGAAACAGAGTTTCAAACAGTCCCAAGTGAATCGTTATAGATGTGTTACTGTGAGTCACTTGTCTGCTACCATTCGAATGATGTGAGAAGGATTTGATTGATCCTGGTTACTTTGTTCAAACACATCTGTCTGATCCAGCTCAATCTATAACTTCTTTTTGCATGTCTCTAGTTATAATAGTTAAGATGTGAAGTAATTAATCACTCATGACACGATCGATTACCAGCAGGAACAATGTGATCTCTCATCATCATGATTACGTGAAGCCAATAGGGAAGTCATAGTTCATCCATACTTGCTCAAACATGATCATCAGACACAGCCTTCTACAGATAGAGGTTAAATACCTTAATACGATGCATATGAAGCTCGACCGACCGAGTGGTGGCTCAAGTTTTTGTCCCACTTCCGACAGTCTGTGATTGCTGAAAGCAGTCACGTTTGCTAGTTATTCTCAAAGGCATTTTCCTATGATTAAAAGCAATGATAATTTATTAGATCGATATCATAGTCATCCTTTTCCTACTAGGAATATATTCTCATTTTAGCTCTTCAACTTTAGATTCTCCGGAATATAAATGCCAAGTCAAAAAGTAGATATGCTCAGCCTCGTTAAACACAACCCCCAAAATTGTCAACGGAATGGGTGGTGAAGAGGGTTATCGTAGTAAGTGCACAAAGAGTTGAAAGTTTTGTTGAGTAGACTGCTGCCGACTCACTCACTAGCTAGCATCTATCAAAACAAAAAAAAGAAAAAAAAAGGGGGGGGAAATTTGACTAGGAATGCAATAGAATATATATATTTGGTGTGAACTGATGCACAATCTATAAGTGCTGAAAGCTCGGTGGGTAGACTGCTGCTGACTGATTAGGATCCGTCAACCTGTAAATTTGGATGAATGTTCATGGACTCTTCCTTCGGGTTGTGGATGAAAAGAACATGTATGTGTATCGGTACTCTGAACCAAGAATTCAATTCATAGATACGTTGAGACATTTGAAACCAGATGGAACTTACGGAGATCACCGCAAGATTACAGGAGATCTAATCCAGTATGCATGCGTTAGATTCAGCCAATATTTAACCAGACGTCGGTAGCTCGCCTTTCGAATATGCCTTCACAACAAATTTGGCACACCTTTGTAAGAATCTAATGCTCGTCTCTTCCCCTTCCATTGTTAGGCCAGCAATCTAAAGAACAAGTAGTAGTAGATGATAGTGTCCAAAAGAGCTTTTTGATTGGAGAAGCTAAGAGTAATTTCTTGGCTTGAATTGCTACCAGTCGAAATTGTCAACCTTGGTTTGCTAGTAGACACAGGGCCAAACCCACAAAAGAGCTTTGCTCAGTGGTATGAGGATTTGACTTTTATGTGGATCGGACTAATGACCACAAAGCATGGAAGGAAATTAGAGGTCATGAATACCTTCAATCTGGGCTCCATCATGTATAAGACACACAGATCTCATGCTGGTATCCTTGTTCCGATCAAGCAATGTCATGATCATGTATCCGGTGGACGATTCATGTGACAATAGAGGGCTCATTATGGCTGAAATGTTGAGAAAGAATATTGCCGGATTGTGGAATTACACCGAGAAATGAACTGGAATCATGTTACTGTAGAAAAAGGTCCCAAGAGACCACAAGAATATGTTCTACGAGCAGAATAATGTCGAAAGCAGGCAAAAAGATTGGCTGGCTGAATCAACCTTCTTCTCCATCTAGGGTTATAAATAGAGAGCAAACCGAGCAAGAAACATACCATCACAAACACAGATGAGAGAGTGCAGTGATGGATGAGATGTCTTACATGGGGATAAGATCGTGCTTCGTTAGCCAAGGATGACTTGCCTACGGCCTCTCGAAGAGCTTCTCGATGGTTTGCATGCGACTCTGAGCAACCATGACGGAGGTCTTTGTGTGGTTTTACAGGCAGTCTCCTTGGCTAATCTAAGTGGCTCTTATCCCTCATGTCAGACATACAACTCTTCCTAACTCGACGTTCGAATCGAATGCATCTCATCCTCACACGAGGAAGGAGTAATGGCGTTCGTGGATTATCTCTCGTTTAGTATACTTTCTACGATTAGCACCGTGCATTGTGCTCCATCTCTTTCTGTCAGAATACTCCCTCGTCTGCATGTATGATTCCTGCCTGTATTTATTCGCATTCGTTCGAGCAGTCGCTTCCTCTATTTTCTCACGATGAAGAAAGTACATTACTGGATGTTTCAGAATCAAACGAAAACATGATTTCCATGCAGAGAAAGATGGAGTCCGCAGTTACGAACTCAATGCGTGATATATCATGAATTCTAAATTGACACATAATAAATCATCTTTTCTTTACATTTCTGATCGAAAGCATTAGTTAGTGTTGCTTCTTGTATTCCGATCTATTCATGCTGCTTACCATATCGGCCACCAACTTAGGGACCAGCTAATTGAAATGTGATGATCTTGGATGATTCATTGATTTTTATCGTTGGAAAAGCATCGATCCCTATGCCGCATTCATAATGATCAAGTTTTCAGGTAAATGTCACATAAAATTCATGGACATCACAAGAAATGTGTTTGTGTTGCACCGATGTTATCACACTCATTGTTGGTGTGAAATCACCAATGACTACCTGAAAATTATCATCGACAATGAAGCTAGATATTAATGAAAAAAATATTGTGACTAATAATCATCGTAAGCTTCACAATAATGAATATGGAAATCAGTAATACTAAATAAACGCAGAAATATCTTCCTTAATGATCAATTCTGTTCTTCTAGGAATTTTCGAGGCATAAGAGTCTTTAAGGTAACAATATTAATCGGAGGCATGAGCTAGTAACAAATGTAACAATGAAGTTCATACATGTCGATCGATCTTTTCTCTCTTATTCGTCGTCTCGATTATATTTCCTATATTACTTTTTTACTTTTGTAATTCTTTTTATGATTGGTTTAAAGAAGTAGTCGACCATTAAGATAGATAGTGTAGAATTCCAAAAACAAAGCTAAAAGAAAATAAATGCTCCCCGAGTTAAACAATTAACTTTTCTCTCTTTGCTTTTATCATCTGTAAGTAATGTAAAAGGAGAAAAAAGAATAGAAGAAGAAGAAAGATGAGAACACGCTAATGTGCGTTGCTATTGCAGCTTCCTTTGCTCTTTCTTCTTCCTGTTTGTCGATTAGCTTTTGTGGTGTTCTTTTTCTTCCATTTCTTTCTGTCTCCTCTCCATTCATAAAGCATTTCCACGGATGTACTTGCCGCGATTCACAGACAGTGCATGACTTCGCCTCTAAGCGTTGGCATTGTGATATTTCGATCGACTTCTTTCGCACTCAACATTTTTTTGCTTCATCCATCAATAAGAGAACATTCTTAATCGAGGTAAGTTTGAGCATATCATCGCCGACGAGTTATTTAATGCTCATAACAAAGGTTTGTAAATAAATTAATGGTAATATATATATGTTTATATACAAATCTTCGTTTTACTCTTTTGTAATTAGAAAAAAATGTTTTATTTGGATGGAGGGGTAAATATGAAAATTACTAAGCTTCGGAGGGACATATATGTAATTTGGGCGAATAAGGGAAAATGGCGCACTCGTTGCACCCCTCCTCCGCCTTACGTCCAGCAAAGGAGCTTTCGCATCTTTCCGTCCACCGACGGTAACTTTAAGCTCGCCCTTTCGGCTCCCGCCTTTGTTTCCTCTGTCTCTCTCTCCGTCTCTTCCTCTCCTCCTCCCTTTCTTGATCGTTAAGTAAGAATCTGAGCAAAGCTTCCGTACATGCCTTTTTCCTTCTTCTTAACTCTTCCGTTGTGGGTTGTGCCGGAGAAAGGAGCTGCCATCGAGTTCCGCCATGGCTGCTGCGTCGACCGGTCCCCGCGACCACATCGAGAGGATCAGGAGGGAGAGATACTACATCGGGAGAGAGGAGAAGAACCCCTTGGCAGAAGACATCCATCAGGCCGTCAGCTACCTCTCCGAGGAGCTCTACTCCAAGGATGTCCACTTTCTCATGGAGCTTATTCAGGTCGTATTCATCCTTCGGACATATCTCTATCCACATATATACATATGACTTCATACCTACAGTGTTTATATCCTTCCTTGTATTGTCTCTCGATGCACACTGTGTGTGATACTTGTGATGTCCTTATGCACAATTGTTCTCTCATATCCCACTGCTTCTTGATGCTGCATATATGTGTGCTTTACTTGATGGAAACAAACTTTGCTTCAACATATTGCCCCTTTTCCAGAGAAATTTCGACTGTTCTTTAATTTTTTGCCTCTGTTTTTCCTTTTTTAAGGTTGCGCTAAACATTTTCTTGGTGCTTAGTCTTTTCGCTGTCATAGCAGCGCTCACAATGGATAGGATGAATTCGGTATAAAACGTTGAGATCCATTGCATATGCTGCACGGACTTCGGTCACATGCTGTGGCCACTGCATGTGGATTGTTCAACTCAAATCAAAGGCTCCGTCTCATCGCATCGATGAGTTCTAAACCACTTACTGCAGTCATGTCCAGAGGATGATTGAGATTTAACTCATCACGTCACGTAGGAGCTTAAGATGGAACCCCAAAAGCAAGTCAAATGTTTTCTAGTTAGAGTCCAACATGTATCAGAGGGCCAAAAGTTAAGATGGATATTATTTGATCAGCAATTCCCCAGTCTTCCTCCAGAAAGGTGGTAGAATCACGCAGTTTCAGTGATAAGTATATGAAGCTATTACATGCAAGCACATTGATTAAGATTTGAGAACTCTTATTGATTCATATTGATGATTTGAATTACATGATTAATAAGCAATTATGTATATTTAGCCAACAGAATTGGATTCTAACGGTATAAGTTCCATTCTGATTAGGTGACCAATGGTCAGCATTTAGTAATCTTAATCATCCTAATATAAATAGTTAACCTAGAAACATTTACAAATGGGCCTGTCCTTAAACCAAATCTTTAGTCCTGTGGGTTCGACCAATTAAACTCAAACTTAACTGAGTTAGATCAGGAATCATTTAGCTAATTGAGACAAACCCAAACTAATTGTAAAATCATCTTAGCTCAAACACAAAGTAAAACTTAGTGGAGGAAAACCATCTAACCAAGCTTGGATTGATCATAAAACCCAGTAAATTCAAATTCCAGCTTAGACCAAAAGCAAAGGTCAAACAATCTTGTTCAGGTAAACCTATGCCAAACTCAATTAAACTTGGCTAGGCTAGACTATTCTCATATTGACCAACTCATATTCTCCTTTAATTTAGTGGACTCGAGTCAGGCTCAACCACCAGCTTATTTAGTTCAGTCAGTCATGTCAAATAAAAATAGACCATCTTGTCATACTCCAATGTGCTCCAAGTGTGCAATATAATTTAGATCAGCAGTGAGCATGCCAAGTGCTTCTGCATGATCACTAGTTATGTTTAGATCATCGCAAAATAAACTATGTCAGATTTGAACCAGCCCAATCCTGTTCTAGACCCAAATTACCTTGGGCAGCTAGCATACGGTCTGGTCCAGCATTGCTCAATTTCAGTCTAATCATGCCATAATTTGGGTTAATATAAAGCAATTTAGTTGCATTCCTGTCCAGCCCCAATGTTACTTGTTGTAAGAGTTGGGCAGAACAATCTTAGTCATGGTGGAAAAATTTCAGAATAAGAGGACTGAATTATCAACCAGCTCATGTAAACAGAATACGATCACTCCTTGTAAGAACTTTAATTAAAATAGGGATATCTACACCAAGATAAGCCACTCCTAGGGAATATGAGCCGGAATAAGGGTGTCTAGTCATTCACATTATTCTCTTTGAATCTAGTATGAACCTGGGTCGAATGTAATATAATTTATTTTGGGATATCTTCACCCGTCGCTTCCTAGACACCCACCACCTATTGGTGCCCTCATGTGTAGCTCGCATGCTTGCCACCCACTTCGGTATATCCGTTTCCTCCTCTTTTTTCTCTTCTTCCTTCTTCTTCCTCTTCCTCTTCCTCTTCCTTCTTTCTTCGCCATTCTCGCTATCCAATAGTATCACAATATCAATGTGTTCTGGTGGTACCATCGAAATTGGTGGGAATTGTATCGATCCAACCATGGATGGACATGGGTCCGATAACTGAAATGGCAACCCTTGGTTTTTTATATGGATGTTGATGCTCGTAATATTTTAATGCATGTATATAATTATGCGTCTTTACTATTTCCAATGATAAACTAGAATTCTTGTCCACTTGTATCTCTTAGCTTGAGACTGAAAGAATCTTTTCTCAAGCTATAGTTAAGACAATTACAACAAGGTTGATGAGTCACATTAATACTTGGGAATTCGTAATGAGGATATTGTAAACTTAGATCATGATATAGAATAGAGAATTCGTTACTCTACAGTTAAGGCAATTCCACCAAACCTTGATTGATCAGGAGTGTGTGAAGCATTCTCTAGACAAACTTGTTTGCTTCCTTGACAAGTTGAAGTGTGAGCTCGACAAGAGTTGCACCGTTGAAATGTCTGCAAGTTGGCAAGTGCAATCATCGAGGTAGAACAATGGAATGGCTTACAAACTTCTTTATAGAGATTTTTGAGAAGAAGTACGAAGCAGAGAAGGGCTTTCCAAAATCTTTTGAGTGGAAGGACACGATAAAGAAAGGGGCTCGGGTAGGTAAGATATAAATCTAGAAGGAACATCTTGAAGTCTAATAAATGTCTTTTGTATGATGGACATCATCCGAAAATGGAGTGTTTATAGTGGAGGTAGGTTCGTAAGGCCCTTATGACTTCTTTTCAGTCGAAGGGAAAAAAGAAGGTTAAGGCCAAATCTTGCTGCCTGAATAAGTTACAATTGAGTTGCAACGAGAAATACTCCCCAAGGCCTAGTATGAGAGTGGTGCCCTTATGATGGATAATTCTCTATTATTTTATTGACCTTTTATATTTTAATTTTATTTTTAAAGTAATAATATATTGAAATATGAAGATAAGAGTTGGTTAACATATAGTACCTTTACTTTTTTTGAAAATTTAATCTAATATTTCATTTCTAATGAATTACTATTAATTTTTTTTTGCTCTTTAATTATTTTCTTGACTCATCCAAATGTATCACCCTAAGTAATGTTGGTATTGTTCCAATCATAGGAATTATGATGTCAAAATATATGCATCTATAATCGCATTAAAGTTTTTATCTATAAAGCAAACAGTGCATATGCTTATCAATTAAACAATAATGATATTAAATAAAATAACTTATGTGCAAATTCTCGATAAAAGTCCCAAGATTCTACTTTTTCACATAGATTGCTTCCTTTTTTGGCTAAAACATAAGATTACCCTTGGCCTCCAACATGTTGTGGTCTTATCCACCCCATTGCTCCGTCGCCATGCCACCTTGTTGTGGTCGCCTCCACCCTCGTTGTCGCCCACCGCCTTTGCATGGCTGCCTCCACTTCACCATGAGTCCCCTCATTGCCTGACATTGTCAAGGTGGGGGATGAGGAAGTGGGTCAAGCCGGATCGTGCTCGTGAGAGTTTGCCTTTCACCCACTGCCCCCACCCTCATGCGTCTTGTCCCTATGCTATCTTGGGATTCAGCTCCTCTATTAGCAGAGCTAGTTTATTGGATCGTGGCACCATCAACTCCTCATCAAGTTGGTGATAGCATTGCCATGCCTTGTTGTGCGCTCTTTGACATCGCCCTCGTTGATGATGGCCTCATGACCATTTCTTCCCTTGGCTCCGAGAAGAACCTTTGCTTCTTCTCCATCAGTTGCCCCTTCTCTCCTCCTTAGAACCCTCGGCCTTGCCATTGCCCAATGGTGGCACTTTGGGGGACGAGGAAGAGGGTTTGTAGGTGAAGGTGACGATCGACGAGACATATAGTAGGGGTAATCTCATCTTTTAGAAAATAAGGGGTTATCTACATATAGTTATAAAGCAAGAAAGGGCACTCTACGGGAAAAAGCAAGAACTTGGGCTCTTTTTAGAAAATTTGTCCATAACTTATTTATAATTTTATATCATATGATTTGTGGATAAATTACAAATTCAATAATTCTTGAAATTTCTATTTATTTAAGTAGTCAAGCTTTAATATCTCATTTATTCTATGGTCAAAGTTGCTTAAATTTGTTAAGAAGAGTTCGTAGTAAAAAGAGAATACAAGGATGATCTTCAAAAACCAAGTAAACCAAGAAAATTTCAAATTGGTAATAATGAACTATTATGGAATACTTAGAGAGTTCAGATATTAAATGTCAATACCAATTCTGGATTTTTTTCTGTTAAAACAAAAATTATTGAAATAGATGTTTTAGAAAATAAATAAATTTTTGTCATCATATGACCTAATAAATAATGGATACCTAATTGGTCATTCTCATACATGAATAGCTAAGAAAATTGTGTCAATCTTCTTTTAAACCTACAGTTTCTTTTTAACGTAATTCAATTAATTTAAAATGCATACTTTTCTTTGATGATTTAGACAAATGCTAATTAAAGAATCGCCACATGTATAACATATGAAACAAACTAATTTTATTAAATTGCAACTACAGTTAACTATCAATTTGTAACACTCATTGCTAGCTTTTTGTAAAAGAATATCGTTGAAAAAAGGCTGGCTAAAATTCTTTTTTATTATAAATATTTAAGCTGCAAAATTAGCTTGTAAGGTGCAACTTGTAATCGAATTCGAATCCTGGATGACATTTCAGAAAATATAGCAGTCTGCTGTGATTGTTTGAGAGATCAAAATTATTTCATTCTATCAATAACAATTTGAATATTTACCTTTTTTTTTTCTCTCTTAAGTTCTGAATACTTAAAGACTGGTATTATCAACATCAAGATGACTACTTCTCTATTGTTGTAAAAATGCATACTTACCATGTTCAATCTAACTTTATGCATCAATTTGTTTCAACAGAATGCAGAGGATAACAAGTACAAAGAGGGAGTCACTCCATCCCTGGAGTTCGTTATTACATCCAAAGATATCACAATGACTGGTGCCAGCTCAACTCTTCTTCTCTTCAACAATGAGATAGGATTCTCCCCAGCAAACATAGATTCTATTTGTAGGATTGGTAAGTCCACAAAGAAAGGGAGGCGACACCTTGGTTACATAGGAGAGAAAGGTATGATCTTCAACTTTATCATGCCAATCGATTATTATGTTGTAGAAAGGTGGGCTCACAAAACTATATGCAGAAGACATGATCTGGTCAGTTATCTGGGCAGCACTATGTATCTGTTGTTTCATGGTTAACCATAATACACATCCAAGTGCCCCTCAAAGGTGATTTTGGTTAATCATTTGCATGAAGGCAAAGTTATGAATTGCATCAAATTGAAAGGGGAATCAGAAAAACTATGTCTCACTTGATTACAATGCTGAACCAATATTTTTATTCAGCATCTCATCTGTAGAAGACTAGAAGTAAAGTTTGCTATTTTTCTTGGTTCCACATTCACCTCTCAAGCTAATCTGCAGAAATAAACAGAATCTTGGATGTGTTTGTCATTGTTCTTCAGTGTCAATTTTGATCTTGCATACACTGCACAAAGTTGACATAGTAATATGGCAAAATTTAATATGATCTATCTGGGTTTCCTTTCTGACAAAGGGCAAGTATGTGAAAGAAATAGTTCTCAAAACCCTTTTATTTGAGGATATAACAAATAAAAGCCATTATGCCTAGGAAAATTCAGTTCCAGAACAACAAGAATTTTTGAACCAAGATGTTAGGAAGGCATTCATTATTAGCATAACCAATTTAAACCTATGATATACCATTAATTATGGTGATGGTAAGTGACTTTGAAACCAAAGGGTAAAGAATTTGTAGGATCTCTTAAAGCTAGATTCTGCATCACATTTATTTGGATAACTGCCTGAAATTTATTCATGCATGAGATCCAGTGTTGAAACTTAAGAATCTGGTTGTTTATAATGTGAGTTAACTTAGATCAGATCTTCTTTCTTCATGCTAATGGGAGCCTGTTTCGTTCAACATGTTTAATTTGGAAATGAATAAAATTTTCTTTCTGTGAAATGAAATAAATGTACTCCTTATTGCCTTAATGAAGTACATTTACCAATTCTTCATACTGGTTATTTTCCTGCTAGACAGTTTTGGCACTGTGTATTAGAATTAGTGCTAAACTAAATTTGATACTGTAACTACATTAGTTTGATGACTATAATCTTTTTCAGGAAAACATTGATTCTAAAAGTGTTTTTGTAATGAACTTACAGGAATAGGCTTTAAAAGTGTGTTTCTGATCTCCAGCAAACCCCACATCTTCAGCAATGGGTATCAGATAAGGTTCAATGAAGAACCATCACCCGACTGCAACCTAGGTTACATCGTGCCTGAGTGGGTTGAGTCGAACCCAAACCTCTCTGACATACAAAATATATATGGTTCCTCAAAAAGCCTTCCTTCAACTACTATAATCTTGCCTTTGAAGAGTGAGAAGGAGTTGACTGTAAAAAAACAATTGTCAAGTTTACATCCAGAGGTCCTACTATTCCTTTCTAAAGTTAGACAACTATCTGTGAGGGAAGACAATGATGATCCAAAGCTTAACACTGTCAGTCAAATCTCTATATCAAGTGAAGCTAATTACCAGATGAGAAAGAACTTGAATGCCGAATCATACACCCTTCATCTTGCCGCTCATGAGGTTGACAAAAATGATGAAGAAGCATGCTCCTACTACATGTGGAAGCAAAAGTTCCCTGTTAAGCCCGAAAGCATTGTGAAGAAGAGGATGGAAGTTGAGGAATGGGTAATTACTCTGGCTTTTCCCTCTGGAAGACGATTGAATCGAGGGATGAAATTGTCTGGAATATTCTCCTTTCTTCCCACCGAGATGGTGACTGGTTTTCCATTCATAATTCAGGCTGATTTCCTTTTAGTTTCATCAAGGGAGTCCATACTTTTAGATAGCCCATGGAACCAAGGGATTCTTAGCTGTGTACCATCTGCATTTATAAATGCTTTTGTTACACTGGTTAAAGGAGCAGATGATGCACCCTCATTTTCTGTTCCTTACCTGTTTAATTTCATTCCAGTGAAGAGCTCCTCTATCCCACAGCTGGATTCAGTGAGGCTGTCCAGTAAAGAAAAGGTGGCTGCTGAGCATATCATACCATGTGAACCCTACACTTCTCAAAGGATATTTTGTAAGCCCAGTGAGGTTAGCCGGCTGATTCCAGCCTTTTGGAATGTGCTGATCAAAGCACAGAAGTTTGGGGTAGATATACAGAGCCTCCATTCGCATGGAAGGTATATTGTGAACTCTTATTTTGATAACAAAGAGTATGATCAAGTGTTGGGCTTTCTGGGGGTGGAGTACGTTGAAAAAGCATGGTATGGAAAGTTTATTGAGTGTTCTAATCTTGCAAAGGAAGTGCCTGATGATATTTATGTGGTCCTACTGCATTTCATTGCTCACAATTGGAACAATTGTTTTATTGACTTGCCACTCCTGAAGTCTCTTGATGCCAGTGGCTGTGTTTCTTTGTTGAGTGTACGGAAGGCAACAAATGGCTGCCAGAGATTATGTATTGCACAAGATGATGATTCCATCTCTTGGCTTATCAAGTGGAACCAAGAGTTGATTACTGCCTCAAATCTATGTTTTATGCCTGAAAGCACACAAAAAGCTCTAAGAGTGTCTAGAGGAGTTCTTGATTGGCTTCAAGAGTCTGTGAATCTGCAGCTTGTTAGTGTTGAAGACTATGGATCAAAGGTGGTAAAAGCACTGACTGATAGAAGGCTTGTAATTGCATTCACTCACTTCCTATATCACTCTCTTATCAATGATTATGCTTCCAATTGGTGCATCGGACAGTTGTGTTCTTCCCTGCCGATTGTAGATGACTATGGGCATGTGACTGTTCAAAGGACACAGGTGCTCATGCCAGCTAAAGTGAGCAAGTGGGCAGGATTATTGGGTTCAAATCCATGGAGAGCAGAACGTTACGTTGTATTGTGCACAGAGTACTTGTCCCCCTGGGCGTTTGCTGGCACCTATACATCTGAAGGACAGATCTTGCGCTTCCTACAAAGTCACTTAAAGGCCACAGATGTCCCTTATGTTTATCCTCCAGATGCTGCATTTACTACTGTCTACTCTCCTTTGACAAAGGAAAATGCATTCTTGCTACTTGAATGGATTCGAAATATAAGATCCAAAGGAATTAACAAACTGCAGAACTTTCTGAACTGCATTAGAACTGGAAGTTGGTTGAAGACATCTATTGGTTACAAGCCACCTTCTGAGTCATTCCTTCCGAGCTCAGAATGGGGAAATTTACTACAAATTTCCTCAGTCCTCGTTGACATACCATTAATCAACCAAGAATTTTATGGAAAAAATATATGGGATTACACTGAAGAACTTAAAGAAATCGGAGTCAGATTTGAATTTCAGCAGGCATCAAAATATATTGGCAAGCATCTCATGGATTTAGCGGCTCACTCCATCTTGACCAGAGGAAATGTTTATTCATTGCTGAGGTTGATCAGATACTTGAGAGAGAAGCAGTTGTCGCCTGAGTCTTTGATTCAGAGCGTCAAAGACAGTAGATGGTTACAGACTTCCCATGGTTACAAGACCCCATCAGAATCCATACTGCTTGATTCAGAATGGACAATTGCATCACAAGTTAGTAGTCTCCCCTTAATAGATACTAACTTATATGGTAAGGAAATTGTTCACTACAAGACTGAGCTTGATTTACTTGGAGTTTTAGTTGGGTTTAACAGAAATTACCAGCTAGTGGTTGATAATTTTAAAATGCCTACAAGTTTTACATCTTCTCATGCTACTATTTTCATACTCAAGTGTATTCGACATGCTCGTGCCCCTGATAAGCTCATAGAAAAGACAAGGCAGATGAAATGGTTGAAGACCCATCTTGGCTACAAAACACCAAGTGAATCATTTCTGGTTGCTTCAGAAGTTTGTCTTCTAAACGTGGTCAATGGTGTGCCAATAATTGATGAGGGGTTCTATGGCAGCGGAATCACGTCATATAAAGAAGAGCTGAAGAAAATAGGAGTTGGTGTCGATATTGATGATCTATCCAAAGTTATTGCTACCCAACTGAAACAACTCATAGCTTCTTCATCTGTTACAAGCAAAAATGTTCTTGCTTTACTAGCATGTTACAGAAAGATGGGTAGTAAATTTCCAACTGATCTTTTGGCCTTTACCCATCATGAGAAATGGTTGCATACCAGGCTGGGCTTCAGATCTCCCAAGGATTCGATCCTATTAGATACAGAGTGGGAGTCCATCTCATCGATAGCCAGTCTTCCCCTCATTGATGGCAATTCTTCATTCTATGGTCACTCTAATGAAATTTACAATTACAAAAATGAGCTCAAGGATTTTGGTGTTGTGGTGGATTTCAAAAGGGGGGCAGAATTTGTTATAAAGGGTATTCGCATTCCCAAAAATCCTTCAGTCATCACCCGGGCAAATGTTCTTTCCTTGCTGAAGTGCATCCACAATCTGAAAGGGAAAATGGAGGTTCTTCCTAATGAGTTCATGAAAAGCATAAGCAAGAGTTGGCTAAAGACCACTACGGGCTACAAATCTCCAGGAGAGTGTCTCCTCTTTGATCCAAAGTGGGGTTTACAAAGGGAAGATGGGCCCTTCATTGATAATGAATTTTATGGCTCAGAGATTACATCCTACAAGAATCAACTTAAAGAAATTGGAGTGATTGTGGATGCCACTGGCGGATGCTTGTTAATTGCACGTCATATCAAATTTCATTCTGATATTACTGCAGTCTCCAGAGTTTACATGCACTTGAGTGAATTTAAATGGGAGCCAGAAAATGAAGCTGCAGATTGGATATGGATCCCAAGTGGAAGTGGTGGTGGCCAATGGGTGAGTTCTAGCAGTTGCATACTTTACGATAAAAATCATATGTTTGGCTCCCAACTCTATGTTTTGGACAAGTATTATGAGACAAAACTTCTTGGATTCTTTACCACGATTCTTGGGGTTCCGCATGGTCCAAATATTCAGGATTACTGCAAACTCTGGTGCTCATGGGAAGCTTCACTGCACCACCCGACAGTCTTGCAATGTTCTGCTTTCTGGGAGTTCATTGCAAAGCACTGGAATGCTAAGACGGAGAAGCTGCTACTGGGCTGCATATCAAAGCTTCCAGTGCAAAAGAATAATGAGATAATGCTGTCCAACAAGCAAGATGTATTCATTCCCGATGACCTCTTGCTGAAGGATCTGTTCGACAAGTGTTCTGATGAAGCAATTTTCATATGGTATCCTTCAACTAGCACTCCTGCACTGTCTAGAGCAAATTTGAACAAGATCTATATCAGTATTGGTGTCAGAACAATTTCGGAGGCTGTAGAAAATGATGAGTCCTTCACAGCAGAAGGCGCCAATGTTAGGGAAGTTGATCCAGGATCTCTGGTGTCGAAAGATGGGTTGCTCAGGATCGTTCTTGCATTTCTCTGTGATACTTCTTTAGCTACAAGTTCTGCTGAAAGGCATCGCATTGTTAATAACCTGTGCAATTTACAAGTTTTGGAGTTGGATGAACCCATTACGGTAAGCTACAAGTTGTCACTCGCCACAGGCAAGAATTTGATTGCGAAGGCTAGCAAAATGTTTCGCTGGGAGAAGGACAATGCTAAGTTGTTCGTACAGAGCATTGATGGTTCAAAGAGAAAGAGAGGCAGCATCGAATTCGCCACATTTTTTGCAGATGTAATATCACAGGGCCTGTTGTTTGAAATGTCTGATCAGATTGCTGCACTCTCTGAGCTGATTAGGTTGGGCTGCTTGTTAGACTTTGAGGAAGATGCTGTGGAGTTTCTGTTGAAGACCAAAAACCTCCAATTGTTTGCTGAGGACGAAGAGCTTCTATCATCCATATCAACCTCCTCGAAGGTCTGAGTCACCAACAAGTAGACCACCGTTCTGCGACGTCAAAGTTATCATGTTTTGTTCTCTTTTGGATAACTTTGATGCATGCTTATTTCTCTGTTTATCAACACTATGTTGTTATGATGATGTCCATACATGTTAGACCATTTGTATATGAACTAAGCTTGATATATCAACTGTCTATTTTGTATGATCTTGGTTTCCTATACGTTGTTTCCTTTTTGAAATACAGATTATTGAATTATGTGATATAAAGTTTAAATTAAATAGGTATTTCTGGTTTACTTTTTAATTCTTGATAGGATATGTCATAGTTTAGCCGAATGTTTTTGTCTCCTTATACTTATTGTAAGTGAGTTGATGTCTTAATGGGTTAGACTTAATTTGTGTGGACATCTGACACAACTCTACTTATCTTGATCGGCTTACATATTGAATCTTCATAAGGCTCAATTGCAGCTCTAACAACTTGAGGGTCCAAACATGACACAATCTACAATACTGAGGAAACAGAATTTATATGATAGATATGACTGACTTCCTTGCTTATAAACAAAATGCAAAAGGTATTATCAGTTTTTGCCAACCACCATGACTTGGGCTGCTGATGTTGCAATTATTATTATTCTTTCTTATTGACAAGAGATGATTCAATTTGATGCCGAGTGTGGCAGGCAGTGTTCTGTGTGGAAGAATGCTGCAGCATATATTAGTATAGGATTGCAAGAGAAGTCGAGCTTAAGGTGGCGGCGATGTGTGGGTGGGGGTGAAGGACGAGAAAAGAGGGATTTTTGTTGCATCGAAGAAGACTGTGGAGCTTCTTCTCCACCTCGTTACGTCCATCGATAAAACTTTGAGCAGGTCTCGGAATTAACGAAGGACTGACTCTTCACCTTCTCATCTTGCCGTCCCCCCAAGGTAACTTTAAGCTGTCCCATTTCGTCCCCTTTGACGACGATTTTGTATTTATCCTTTTTTTAATATAACGATTATGTATGTTCTTATCTTTAGATTTTTGTTCCTGCTTTATATAGTATGTAAAAAATTGATAATAGGCTTAGAAGTCTCATTTTCTTTGATTTTGGTGATTGTTCTAGATTTACAAATATACGTTGTGTTATGTGGACATTTATGAGGATTTCGATCTGTAATAGATTTTTTTTGATCATTTATTATGCGATCGTTTAAGTGAAGTAAATTTGCATTGAATATGAAGTATTTGCTGAAATGATTGCTTGTGGATCCCGAGTGAAATGTTTTCTTTAACCCGTTTTTTATTTTGTAGGTCCTAAGATACTATAGGAGGTTTTGAGGAGGCTGATCTTTGTGGACAAACACGCAAGGGTACCGCATGACTTAGTAAAATCAGCTAAATACATGACATATGGTATCGGAGCAGGACAAACACACATATAAATACTTTGCATGCAAACGTGGAGGATCTAGTGAGGCTGCGTTGAGATCAACTAGCACGCGCGATCGTTTGAGAAAAATAAGAATAGAGATGTATAAGAAAAGGAGTCGCTTAGAGGAGTAAACATTTGAGATTGACATTCAGATGAATGACCAACCCTTCATGCAAAAGGTATTACGAGAACAAGCAACTTGAGAAGAATGTATTGCACACAAAGGTTGAGATGGTTGAGTTTGAGTTACGGCTCGACGTTAGCAACCATACTTGATGATGCTCAAGGCAAGTGAGACGCTTGGTAAATGATGAAACCTTGCAAAGTGGAATGTGTTGTTCAACGACCGAAAGAGTTGTGCAAAGCTCATAAGGTGAGGAGAATTGTTTACTCAAAAAATTCAATACTCGTGTAAGGACTTATATACAGATGATGAAATGTCTGTGGCCATCCCAAGGCGATCGAAACTCGATATCATAAAGCATTAAAACTTTTTCTTCGGCATGAGAATGATATGTCCATAGGAGGTTGATGTGTGCAGCGAGTTCAGCATGTTGCTATGCCTTAAGGGATGCAGCAAGGGTTGTATTGGTGATGAGCCCCAATCTAGCAAGTGCATTTGTGTGGGCAGAACAACGCATAGTTTATTCAATAAGGTGAAGTGGTACAATGAGATGGTAGTCTCCGAAACTTCTAAAGGGAAGGATGTGAAGAGAAAAGTTATTCCAACGGAACATATACTTTGAAAGGATGAGTTCCGATTCTCTAGAGGGTGAATCATGTGTAACAGACCGCACATGTTAAGGAGTATCTCAAGACAACAACTCCATAAAGCTCAACAAACCAAGCAAGCAACGAGAAGTCGTCGCATGATCTTGCATGAGATAATTTTGTTGAAGGCATTGCATTATTAAGAACCTGTACAATTTACAAGCTTTAGTGTTAGATGAACCTATTATCGTAATGTCATGGATGATCAGATCGTTTGTTATTTTTGTTTGCTTTTATATATGTTTGGCAATGTGTTTTTACTTCAAAATTATGAGCAGGAATAGTTTGTAGGATCACAGTGTAAGAATAAACAAAACTATCCCAAAATAATTTAGTTTTTGTGTTATGGTTTATTTTTTTTGTAGATTATGGTGCAGTCCAAAACATCAGCCTTTTTAGCATCCTAAAACCTTGCAAGTGGCATAAGGTTGGATGGAGGTTTGGGGTAGTGTTGATATTGATTAAATTTATAAGTTTACACATTAAGCTTATCGAAATATGTCAACATGCTTGATATTTTATTACGAATTTAGTTAATTTTGCTTAAGTCATGTGACACCCTTGTGTATATATCTGCAAAGGATTAGTCATTATGGTTCCTTAAAGATTTGCAAAAGAGAAAACGAGTTAGAGAAAATATTTAACTCAGGATCCATAAGTAATTATTTCAACAAACACTTGATAGGCAATGAAAATTACAAACATAGACTTCGTAAGTTCTAAGCAGTCACTCAACAAAGAGTCTAAGGTGGTTTGTCACAGACAAAAGTTCTCACAAGTGTACACACGATAATGCTATGGAATAAAGTAGCGAATCAACTCTAAACATTAACCCAAAGGTCCATCCAACTATGTGCTATCTAAGTAGCTCTTGAATGATGTGCTAGCTAACACTACACTATTCTACGGAGTTAGAAAACCCTCGAAATGACTACTTGGATGGTCTTTTATTGGACAACTTTGCCTTTGTGCAATGATTGCATACAATCTATTTACAAGTCTGAAATAGTCAAAAAAAGCTAACAAAAAGGGGCTACCAACCCTATTGGAAGCCTTCTGTATAATGTGTAAAGTATAAAGAAAATCAAAAGATACGAAAATACATGAGTATTATATCAAACACTTTATAATTTTGTCCATAACATTCTCCCCTACTTATTTCTTAGACATCATTGTCTAAACCTTTGTAGGCATTGCATCTCTTCGTCTTTACTGAATCTTTAATCTTCTGTTCCAGTTGTAACACGCCACTTGGCTCCCAACTTCTCATCATTGTTGTTGTTATGCAATCAAAATTTGATCTGTCATGCTACTTCAAATTGTCAATGACTCTGCCTTGACTTTAGTGTAGGGTTGATAGAATTATGTTGATCTTTGTTGATTCTTGTGAATCATTCAAATAAAGGAAAAAACCTTCCTTATTATGTGCTTAGTATCTTAAACATCTCATGTCACTTGAATTATGTGGATATTGGTTGGAGTTTTAATGAATATTATTTCATAGACTAACATTTTTTTTAGGTCTTTCCTTTGTAAAGTTTGTCCATCAATTTTTCTTCTACGTAGTTATCACATCCAAGTAGGTCCATATCACTTTCACTTTCGATTAACATTCTGTTAAGAAATGAAGTGGATAGTCTACTCTCGATAGCATCGATTGCTATTATTGATGATTCAAGAATTGTTGTCTTCCACAAAGTTTTTTCAAAGGGTTTATAAACCTGTACTGAGCTCCTCTACTAAATAAATAAGAGAAGTAGAATACTCAATTTCACCTAATCTCTGAAGAGCTAAGAAGACAAAGTTTACTCAACTTCGCCCGCCTACTTAACTTTATGCATCGTATTGGTTATTAGTCTTTGCTTACTCTTTGCTTACACTTTCGAAGCATTCGAAGTATTTGCACTCCTTACGTTGAGTTAGCTATTACGATTCGCCTTCTCATTACTACTAAACTTATGTAATGTAAGAAGTTTTGTACGAAAAATATAAAGTTTTGTTCCAACTTGGAGTAAGTCTAATAGTTTTGGTAGCCTATAGGATTCTACCATCTTTTCCATTATTTTTGCAGCCTACTCTTGTAAGTAGAAAATGTATGGCACTGCCTATTTCATTCTTTGGACGAGCACTCTTGTATTGACCTATAGTCTTCTACTTTTGGCTATTTTAATAAGAAGCTCATTGCCATCGGTCTTATGAAGTTATCTGGCTTTTGTATTTCAGTCTTATCTTAGTACTTGGAGTTTGTCTCTACATTCTCTATCTCCTTGACCTCTTTCATTACTAAGTACTCTCCCTCCATAAGAACAAGGGATCGATAAATTTATGGAAGTCATACTTATGCGGTATCATAGTGTTGCCATAACTATGGCCCTAGTACCCGTCGCCTCACATTTGTATATCATTTCTTTGCGATCGATAGTCCACCTCTACAATATTGTAATACTATTCCGAGTCTACCTCCATTCTAATCGATATTTGGTTTTATGTAGTTAAGTCACTTTGGACCCACCATCGCTTCCTCACCCCTTTCGACCACTTGCTTCAACTCATCTATGTTCACCGAATAGTTTTCCTTGGACGATGAAAAATAGATTGCAACTCGCCTCTATCATCATATTGTAAGACTCACATCAATTTTATTCTCCTTCGTAATAACTTAAATAGTAACACTATAGTATATTCTTTAAAAATACTCACCAAAATCTCCCTTACAAGGAGACTGGAGCAGTTCCAGTTCCATTTGCACTGGTACTGGTGCAAGCAGAAGAGCAACCAGAACACGAAGTTATGACCATTATGTATCCCGTTCTGCTCATAAAAATTTCAATAGAATCGTGTTCCTTTCCTGAGGAGCAAGACACAAAAGTTTGACCAAGAAATTGACACTTCTGATTTGCACACTTTCTGGTCCATCTTGTATCCAACAATGTTATCCTATTCGATCGAAGTATTCACACCTGGAGTCCTTTAATCCTAGCGATGGCCTGACCTTTAAAATACTAACGATTGTATAATTTCACCGTAATCATGTTTCATTCGTTTGATTTATTTTTTTTCCTTTTTCGAAATCTTGCATACGAGAAAGATTATGCCCAATCTACTTGATAAGATGAAAATGGCTCCCCTAACATTATGTCTAATCTTCTAATGTGTCTTACCATCTTACCTAATTCATTCATACCAAGTTCGGTGGTAGCATAACGACACACCATTCCGAGACGGATTGGCTTGGACATGTATAGATTTCACTGTACTGCTACATCATAAACCAAGCAATAATGTAAAAGGTTTATTGGACATGGATGGAAGAAACTAATCACATACAGAGATTACCTTCGACAACCAGCTATTTTATGATCATGCCCCGAAAGGGAGGGGTACGTGTAATTGTTGCAGCTCAAAGTATGCCTTACAGACTTGGACGACCAAGCAATTGTACAATGCTAAGAAACATCGAGTGTGAAAGCCTGAATGAGCCCGTGTCGTGCTTTCACTCGATATTGAACTTGAACAAATTGTAGCTAAAGTAAATACAATCTTACAAATCAATGTTCAATGTGACGGTGGAATCCAAATTCCACGGGGAGTCAAATGAAAGACCTCTGCTTTAGCAAAAACACAAGTCATGATGCAATTCATTGTGGTTGCCGAGAGCTTGTATATGAACTCGTAAATGATGCACCGAGAAGCCTACCAATTTTTTTGGTTCGAGACATGTTATCAAGTGATAAAAAAATCTCTCTCGTGCCATCAGTAATCTGATGTGCCTACAAGTCAAGGAGAAGCCTTCGTGGATCTTCAACCACATCTTTAATACGTCGCAGGAAGAAAACAGCTTCTCTTCCATCAATTAATCTATGATCATAGGTCAGTGCAACATACATCATTGGCCTCAGGACAATGTTGCCACCAACCACCATAGGGCGAGATACTATGGAGTGCATGCCTAAGATCGCAGACTGCAGAAACATGTTATGTGAGGTCAGAGTACATCATGATCACAAGTTCCCATCTTTCTTGAGGCTTAGGTGTATTACTTGTGGGGGGTTGATGATCGGTGTACTCAGAAGGCTTCCATAGACTCCACCATTGGAGATTGTGAATGTTCCTCCAGCCATCTCATCTATGGATATTGTCCCGTTGCTTGCCTTCTTTGCAAGGGTGTTAATCTCCTTCTCTATTTCCGCAAAATTCATTCTATCAGCATTACGGATTACTGGAACCACAAGGCCCTGCAAAAAATTAAGAAATGAAATTCACAATTTAACTCTTAGTGTCTTGTAGTGCTCCAATGCTTGGATGCCAATAATGCAAAAGCAATAAATGTAGGACACCATGTATATATATCAATTGCTCAATCGAATCATCCAAATAGACGAGAAAGCACAGGACCTTAGGTGTACCAACAGCTATGCTGACATCAATGTAATCCCTGTATATAATATCATCACCATCAATGACTGCATTAATTATTGGCTGGTTTTGAAGTCCAGAAACAGCAGCCTAGCACCATGACAAGATAATAATGAATATACAGGCAAACAAAAAGAATACACAATGTTCACATGACAATACCTTGACAAAACCAGACATAAGTCCCAACTTCACACCATGCTTTTCCACAAAGGCATCTTTATAATCAGAACGGAGCTTCATCAGATTAGTCCTACAAAATAAAATACATTATGATAATGAAGCAGAACATATGGAAATTGATTCATATTTTTTTTTGTGAAAAGGGAGGAAAGAATCTCCACTTGAAGCTTTCATAAACAAAATACAGATATGAGAAGGAAAAATATAAAGGAAAGAATCTCCACTTGAAGCTTCCGTAAGCAAAGTACAGAAATGAGAAGGAAAAATATAAGGGAAGGAAAAGATTAACATTATCTATACATTAGAAAGCTGTCAGCAAATATTGAATGAACTCAGGATGGAAGGGTTAGAACTTTTTAGATTTCCAATTTTATCCTCAAGATTTGACGATTGCCATCCAGCCTCATTCATCAAAGTGTTCACCTATCCTAGAGATTTTCTTACCACTCATGCTTCTCCCTCTCTTTTTCACCCAACTCTAGTCTTAAGACGAGTGATTGCCCTTCGTCAACCCTAACTGCCCAACCCAAAAGCAGACATCTAATGCAGTCATAACTGCTACCTCCATGAAATTGTGCACCACAAATAGGATGACTTTGGACAAAAAGAGAAGTGGCTTGAGCAAAAGGAGAAATGAATCCTTATTCTTTCTTTCATCTGAAAGAGGAAATCTGAATATTGTTATTAGGGATAATCATCGATATTTAAAAATCAAAGATCCTTTAATGGGTACAGTTCACTCTCTGCATTAAGGTAATCAGTGTCTTTTGTCAACTGCCAGATGTGGACCATCAGTGAGGTCTGTTTTCCTATCCTGATCTCTGATTGACTTCATCTCTCCTTTCCAGTCCCTCCTTCCTGTTGCTCTCCTTGTTCTTGGTTTTCACTATTAACTCATTATTATCCACTCAAATATCAGTTTTGATTGTTCCAGAGAAACATAACAATTTTATGTAGAAAATCAGGTTAGATCAATAAACTTCTGCTTGGTTTGGGGGCCAATGTTATCGATTAAGACACAAATTGAGTTTACGAAGCCACATGATCTATGAACTCGCATTCGCTTAAAAGAGAAAAAAAAACACTTTTTTTTTTACATTAAAGCAAACTTATTTGTCGATTTCGGGTCCTTCTTTTTCTTGTTCTAAGAACCTTGCCTTCCTCTGCCCTCAAGAATCCAGTTGCTGGAGGACAACACTGGTATAGCCCTTGCCTCCAACACAAGGGCTAAACATAACTTAAAGTAGGGTGCTGCAACTACTAAGAAGCCTTGGATTCTGCACTGTAATGTTCAAGCTCCAGTAAAATCCATAAGAACTAGTTGTTAATACACTTGATGGTCATGTCAAGTACCCACCTTAACATACGCAAAGAAATCATCTTGTCAAATCATTTAATGCCTGTGAAACCATGAGAATGATGACTCTCAGACATGTTTATCTGCTTCTAGTGAATACTCAAAACAAAGAACAACAATCCAATTACCACAACCAAAGCTCTGAAGAAATTAAAAAAGGAAAACTTTAAGACTGATGACAACAGAATAACTCTCTCAGACATGAATGTTGTTAAAGTTGGTGTTGCACTCATAATTTCAGAATATGTTCTATAAGTACTACTATAAGTTGATGAGAATAAAATTTTCTTTTGTCATTTTCTAATCTCTTTATTAACAGATCAGATTCTTGTTGAGGATTTCATTTCTTGTAGTTCAATGGACACACTTCTTCTAGATATTCAGCACTTATTTAGAAAAAATCTACTGCACCCATCAGTAAAGCACGAAATCAACTCTTCAAAATTTAATTTAGCTTAGTTGTGTGATGCAAGACACATTCGCAATGGATAGAGGAAACATATATATATTTTGTAATATCAGAGGAATGGAAAATGAGAGAAGAAAGATCGCATCTCTGCTCTACCTCAAGGAGGTAACCTCACATTACTCGCATATAGAGCGGGAAAGAACTTCAATTTATTAATTCATCATTTTATCCAATTACAATATCTTTTTCTCCTTTTTATAGACACGAAGTACAAGGATAAAAAGAAAAATATAGAAATCAATTAATGATTCCAATTACATAAATCAAATAAACATCTACTCTTTCCTTCTTCAAATAGATTTAATTTTCATAATCTTATTTTTTATTATATTCAAGATTGATAGCTTTTCATCTTTGTAGAATGATGAATCTTTGATATAGAGGTGAAATTCACAATCAAGATTCATAATCTTCAATCAAAATTAGATTTTGATTTTTTTTATTTTTCCTTTTTTTTTTTCTTTTTTCTTCCCTTTGAATGATATAAGAAACTCAAAAGCATTGGATATGTTGCCACATCGTAACTTACAATATATGCGAGATGCCATATCCTTTTTTCTTCAAAGAATTCGGAAGAGCATGAGTCCATTCTTCAGGTAATGGCCATGTCAACTTCAGGTATACTTTTTGTTTAATTATTCCTTCTTTTATACATTGATATCAACATCTCATCAAACTTAAACTGTCTTGCATAAAGGATTGAGTATGTTGAACGAGCAGATTAAGATTTTCAAGTATGTACACAGATAATATAACAACCAAATGAACTTAATAATTTTTCTTAACACAATTATTTTGGTCACCTGCACATAGCAGATGGGAAAAACTGCCAGTTAGCAAATAAGGTACCATAACAGATGGAAGATATGTAAACTACCTTTAAGCTAAATGTCCATGTGACATTCATGAAATTACTATAATGTCATATGACTTTTCTTCTCCATTCATGAATCTAGATTCAATAATATAATACAACAGCAACAACAAAAAACAAGCTGTAATGCCTTTTTGGGATTTCAGCAATATGATATCACACAAAAAAGGGTAAAAGGAAAACATGCATTATGCCAGGTCAGACAAACATCTCAGCAAGGTCAACAATTAAATAAGAACACAAATACTTACATGTCAACTTCGTTAAAAGTAGTCAGCATTGCAAACGTATTCTGTGAATCCTTCAAACGTGTTGCAACCCTTTTTCTTAGTCTTGGCATAGGAACCTGCAATTGCAATAGGTTCAAAAAATGGGAAATGCCATCCTATGAAAGATTTTCACTGTCTCATGCAACTTTAAAATCTTTATTCATATGAGACTTACTCGTCTTTCTCTTTCTTTAGGAGGTAGCTGAGGTTCTGAAGGTGAAGCTTTGGGAGGTGGGAGGGATGGTGTTTTTGGCTTCTCTTTGATGGGAGCTTCCACTTTTGGCATTTGTTTATTGATATTCTCCTTCTTGGCAGGAGATGTAGTATCTTTACCTACTTTTTCATCTGATGGAGCAACATGAGTGTCTGCTGGAGCAGACTTGGAGATAACAGCAACCTTTGTTCCTGGAGTGACTGTATCCCCTTCCTTGGCAATGAACTGTTGATAACATATGGCCACTAAATATTCCACAATCATAACCAGAATTCCAAGAAAACAATATAAAAGAATACTATCTAAAGCAGCACAAATTGGTCCCCAACCTTTTGGATAATGCCAGCTTCAGGACTAGCTACATCAATAGTCACCTGAAATATACATACAAAACAAATGAGTTGACTTCGGCTTCACCCACTCTGTAACCTTAACTAACTCAAAATGTTGTAAATTATGAGCAGTATTACCTTGTCAGTTTCAACCTGCGCAATTGGTTCATCAACTTCAACCCTATCACCAGGTTCTGTTCCAAATATCATCACTGTAAGAGCCAAATTTGCACTATTTGAACAATAATGTGCATCTTGACATGCATGACCCACAACAAAAGGGCTGGACCCATCCCTAGAAGTTTCTGTCTCAGGGAGAGACAGTCTCATAATATGAAGGGAACTGACATAAATCCAACTTCTTTGAACATTTGGCAAAGAGAGCATGCAAGCATTTATGAGAATATGCACACAGGTCATAGACAGACTGTTAGGCTCTGCACAGGACATGAAGGCGAAACCTTTCACTTGTGGTCTAATTAATAGGGAACTGAACTCTAGAGTTGAATAATTCCATGTGATTGATGGTGACTAAAATGCCTACACCCAAAAACTTATAAAAAAATTTGGTGATATTGAGTCATTGACCATGCATTATACCATACTAGAAAGAAAAGCATCTTATCTAGTTCTTTGGGTCTAAGAGCCCCAAAGTTAGTTTATGATTTTATATGCTTTGATCAAGATCATGGTTCAGTCTCTGGCTGAAATAGGTTGCTGTTTTGCAGGAACAAGATATTTGATTGTTCACTTTTAACTGACTGAATGTGCAGTGAGGGTGTTTCCAGAAGTAAATTTTGTCTGCACATACACAAGGAATGTTAGATTACTCTCAATGGAGCAACTATTAATTTGGTCACATAAATTAATGGACAGTTGACATAACTTTTCTTTATATATTTCTTAATTTTAATCTTCTTACTCTATAGGGTTTTTTCATATCTTGATCAATCCCGATCATCTGATCTGGACCTGCCAATCCCAATCACAATTTAGCAAACTTCTGATACATATGCATATAGACATAATTTTTGTGTACATGTCTTCTCAGACATGCAAAAAAGAAATTTGTATGGGGAAAGGGGAGAGTGAAATACATACTCTTCAGGAAAGTTGCTAAAGTCCCATCAGTTATAGATTCACCCATGAATGGAACAACAGCATCGACAAGGTCACCTTCAACAGAAGAGAAAAGAAGAAAAAAAATCAGTTTCTAACAAGAAATATCTAAAACTTAACAGAGCTGGTGGAGCAGAAAAATCTTACCGCTCTCAGAAGCAAATGACCTACTCCATAATAGGTAAGAGGAGGCTCTTGGGAGAAATGTTGTAGCTTCCCTGCAATACTCATGCAAAACTATGTAAACAACTAGGAAGCAGAATTCTCAAGTATGTAAACAATTAGGTTAGAAATTTGAAAAGTTTCCAGCCACTAACCTCATAGGCTTTGCACAGATAGAGCCACCTGAAATCATTATAAATATAAAATGCTCAAGTTCTACTACTGTGAGATAACTATATTAATCATAGAAACATCATCACCTAGGAGAATCTGATGGCTAAAGTGCCGAACATGTCCATTACTTCTCAAGAGGAACAATGTCTGCAAGAAAGGTGATGATGATAAGAGTATTCGGTACCTTGACGGACCTATAGAAAACTGATTAAAAAATCAAAGTAAATGCATCAAGTTACACAGTAGAATCCACTTTGGCAATGGTTAGGCATTATATATGCTTCTAAATCAGAAATCAACAGTATGAGTGCATTTGACCAAAAGAACCTAAACAAGTTCACCAGCATTCTAAAGAGAAGTAATTGGAACATATTGGGGGAAAAAAATACAAAGCCACAATAACAAGAAAGCATAAACATCAAATTTCTTGCTGAAAAATAAATCATACTCTAGCATAGTAAAGTGGGATTGGTGTCATGACCAAAATTTTCAGAAAATTCAGAAAATAATCATTACATAGTCCTTTGTAACTATAAGAGAACTTAAAAATCAGCTGCATTCTGTACAGTTAGAAAATTTTGTGAAATCATCATGCCCCAAGTTTACAAGTGCATGTAAGGATTCCTTACTTTTAGGAGTCCTTAATTTTAGGGATTTGATATTAATCTTTATTTTCCTATTTAGTTTTTCCTAGTTATGGTAGGAGTTTTTGAGTTTTAGGAGTCCTTTGATATAACAAATTAGGAATTGCTATTTATTAGAAATCCTAGTCCTAGTTGGCTAAGGATTAATAACACTATATATATGTAATGCCTTTGGCTACTTTTCTCAAACAATCAAATACAATTCAAAGCCTTTGGCTAGCTTGGAGGTTGATCCTCTTGAAGCGATCAAAAGGAGGTTGATTCCCTCGAAGCGATCAAATCACTATCTATTTTCTTAGATAAAGCCCTAGGGTTTTATCATCTGATAACAGAGCAGTGTGTCCTCAATGTTTCTAAAGTTCTTGTGGTGTGTCCTCGACGTTCTTAAAGTTCTTGTGGTGCTTATTCGGCATTCCCTCAATCTCCTCTCTGACGCTGCCACAAGCCCCGACGCTCACACTGCCAACAATGACTTCACCTTCAACGCCAAGTAAGCAGTGCTCATGCCCTTGATCCAAAATCATAAACAAAACTTAGGAATTATAGATTTACAATCATACGCAATAACTACTAACAATTCTATGAAAGCTAAATTTGAAGCATTAAAAGTAAAAATTGAGAGCAGGCTACAAGAAACTATCAATGATTTCAAAAAGAGTTTGCTTGAGAGTTTTAGCAAAATTCAACAAAATGGAAATTCGACTTCTACAAGTAAATAACCTGACTGATCTGAATTCACAAGAAGAAGTTACCACGAGCATGAAAATAACTACCCTCATATGAAAGTAGAATTTCCTAGATGGAAAGATGAAGATTCGACGAGTTGGATTTCTAGAGTAGAGAAATTTTTTCGCTTTCATAAAACTCTAGAAGATTCTAAAGTGGAAATAGCTTCAATCCAACTAGATGAGAATGCTATTCAATGGTATGATTGGCATAAAATTTATCATGAAGTTCCCTTATGGGAGCAGTTCAAGAAAGGACTTTTTATTCGTTTTGGACCATCCAAATATGAGAATGTTGATGGGCAGCTTGCCAAGATTCGTCATACTTCTACTGTGTTAGAGTATCAAAGTTGATTTGAACGATTATCAAATCGGACTAAAGATTGGTTTGAAAAACAATTGGTGGGAGCATTCATTGAAGGTCTTAATTCAGACATTCATTGTGAAATTAAGGCTCGCCAACCTCGCACTATGAGAGTAGCAATTTCTTTTGCACGATTACATAAAGAAAAAAAATTAACATGGAAAATCGTCGAACCAGGAGTGTTAATAAACAGGTGATTAGCAATTCAACTACTCCAACCATTCCTAATCGAAATTCTAATACTAGAAGACTAACCCAAGAGGAACTTAAAGAATGATCAACAAAGGGCTTGTGCTAACATTATGATAAAACGTGGAGTAGGGAGCATCGATGTAAGCAAGAAAAACTTTTGATGATTGAACCAATTGAGGAGAAACGAGAGATTGAGACAGTAGACTCTGATCATAAAGGTATTGATAACAATGAGATTATTGAACCTGTCACATACTGTTCATGCATTAGCTAGCTATTATAATCCTTAAACTATGAAAGTTGAAGGGTTTTTGAAACACCAACCTTTTACTGTTTTAATTGATATTAGTAACACCAAGAATTTTATGGATAACGAGGTTGCTATGTGATTGACCTATTATATTGAACGCTGTGATAAATTCGAGGGCCAAGAATTGCTCGTGAATTTTTTTCTTACTACCATTGGAGGACCATGAGGTTGTGCTTGGAAATTGAGTGGTTATTAACTCTGAGCGATATCTTTTGGAATTTTTCTAAATTAATTATGAAGCTTTTTATCAACTGAAAGCAAGTGATCCAAAAGGGAAAGCTATTTTCTTGAACAAAGAGTTTCTTCTTTAGCACAGCAAAAATGAGTCACTAAGCTATTGGGTTTCAACTACGAGATTATTTAGAAGAAGGGGAGTGAGAATTTAGTTGCAGATGTACTTTCTCGCCTTCCAGAACAAGCTGAACTAATGGCTATTTCTACTTCTACTTGCAAAACACTAGAACTTATTAGGAGTGAATGGTTAAATGATCCTGAAATTCAAGATGTTATTAAAAAGTTAAAAGAAGATCCAACTTCTATTCCTAATTATAGTTGGGATCTCATAGGTTTGCGCTACAAGGGCAGAATTGTTTTGGCACCAAATTCTTTTTATTATAATATAATTTTGAAGGAGTTTCATTCATCACCAACTACGGGTCATTCTGGATTTTTTCGTACATACAAACGCATCTATCTACCTTTTTATCGGAAGGGTACGAAGAAAATCATCAAGAAGTTTGTTGTAGAATATGATATTTGCCAGCGCCACAAAGGTGAGATAGTTGCTACCTCGGGTTTGCTTCAGCCTCTTCCTATTCTTGATGATGCTTGGACCGACATATCCATGGATTTTATTGATGGACTTCCACCATCTCAAGGTAAAACCATCATCTTTGTGGTTGTGGATCGCCTTATAAAATATACTCATTTTTGTGCTATACGACATCCTTATACTGCTGCAAGTGTTGCTCGCACTTTTGTTGAGAATATGAGTTGCATGAAATTCCACGTTCCATTGTTAGTGATCGAGATAAAATTTTTACTAGTACCTTCTGAAAGGAGCTCGTTCGCTTGCAAGATACCAAGTTGAATATGAGTACTGCTTATCACCCACAAACAGATGGGCAAACTGAAGTGGTGAACAGATGTCTAGAAAACTATCTCAGATGTTTTACCAGTGATAAGCCAAAGGAGTGAATGAAATGGCTTCCTTGGGCAAAATGATAGTACAATACCACTTATCACTCTTCTACTAAAATAACTCCTTTTGAAGTGGTTTATGGTCGACCTCCTCCCATAATTACAATATGCATGCCTGGTTCTTCTATGGTTGATCAAGTGGACAAGGAATTGCTTGATAGGGATAATATTATTCAAATTCTAAGAGATAATCTCGCAGTCTCACAAGCTAGAATGAAACAACAAGCTAATAAGCATCGTAGTGAGAGAGAATTTGCAGTGGGTGATTGAGTTTTTCTTCAACTTCAGCCTTACAAGCACACTTCTACAAAAGTTCGATCTTCTATGAAGCTGTCTCCTCAATTCTTTGGGCCTTATAAGGTGGTGGAACGTATTAGCCCAGTTGCTTATGGCTTGGACTTGCCAACAAGCTCTAAGATACATCCAGTTTTTTATGTTTCTTGTCTTAAAAAGAAGTTAAGTGAGGATGATGTGATGCAACACCATTTGCCAGATATTTCTTCTACTGGTGAGGTTCAAATCCTACCTCAAGCCATACTTGATCGACGTGTTGTGATGCATCATAGATATCCTCTCACTGATGTGGTTGTTCAATGAGCCATCCTACCAATTGAAGATGCCACTTGGGAGTCTTACAAAACGTTGAAGGAGAAGTTTCCAGAATTCGTAACTGCTCAACCTTGAGTACAAGACTGTTTTGGAGAGGCGGGAAATGTTAGGATTCCTTACTTTTAAGAGTCCCTAATTTTAGGGATTTGATATTAATCTTTATTTTCCTATTTAGTTTTTCCTAATTATGGTAGGAGTTTTTGAGTTGTAGGAGTCCTTTGATATAACAAATTAGGAATTACTATTTATTAGAAATCTTAGTCCTAGTTGGCTAAGGATTAATAACTCTATATATATGTAATGTCTTTGGCTACTTTTCTCAAACAATCAAATACAACTCAAAGTCTTTGGCCAACTTGGAGGTTGATCCCCTCGAAGTGATCAAATCATTATTTATTTTCTTAGATAAGATCCTAGAGTTTTATCAGTGCATAATTAGTAGTTGGAGCAACATGTTCTAGGAAACTAAAGAACTTTTCCAAAATAGATTACTGAAAGACCACATTTTAGATTCACCCAAATTGTGGTCTTGAAATTGATTTAATCTTGTTCAAGCTTTTAAAGGTCCTCCATCTTTACTTAACACCTTCTATCTTTCTAACCATATTTTACTTCTTGTCTTCTTCCACTATTTTTTTAAAAACTAAATGTCCTTGCTCTTTCTCCGCTTACTTACTCGTCACTTTATCTTTGGTCCATATTATTGCACTATTTCCTACAAACAACAGGTAATTCTTGCTTTTGCTTTCATGGTTTCACGTTGACCACTCTAAACATCAAAAGCCACCAAGAAAATAAAGGACCTTATACTTTCACCTGATTCATGGTAGCTGTATCTCCCAAGATTTCTCCCAAAAAATAAACATGAGCAGAAAATATTGAAGGGTCGCTGTCTCTTTGGCTCAACAAAATAAATTCCAAGACAAGTTTATGCATCTCTAAAAGACTCAATTCTACTGGACTTTCTTGCTTCAGAATAGTGTACATCAAATCTTGAAATCCGGCAATCCCATGTCAAATAATAATCATGCTGATTTTACTCTTTGATAGTCACTTAAGATTATCTTATTTTCCTCGTCCCATAAAGATCGTCTCCCTCCAGATCCACATCTCGTGTCATGGTATGCTAAGTGATCCAAATGGTACCAAATTTAACCAGAATCAGACGACACCGCACAAGCACTATGACCGCACAACACTATATCTCTTTGTCACGACGACGCAATTACGAAACAAAAGAGGGAAAAAGGAAAATCGCATAATTTATGAGAAAAAGAACACGATATAGCATCGAATTGAATCAAACTCTAGCTCGTAGCACACAAACCTATCAAAATATCACCGGATAAGAAAAAAAGAATAATGCTTGCGGATCCTAAATTTTTCGTTGGGGGATCGGAAGTGAATCAGAAAAAATGGAAAAGAGCTTACTGCAGGAGGGCGACGGATCATCCGACGAGCGAGATTCGAAGCCATCTCCGATGGATCTGAAACGAAGCACGGAGGACGAAGGACTATGTCATTCTTTACATTTGAGAGACAAGGGAAAGATATTAAGCGTGGGATAAATCTTATTTTTGCACTTATTTTGAGTGTTTCTTCTCGCGGCTTCCTTTCTTTTCTTTTCGAGGGTGTCAACATGTAAATAACTATTTTTATTTTATTATGTAAATATACATCATTCTTATAAATTTATTTGTGCGAATTTTTTTTAAAAATAATTTTAAATTTTTTTCACAAAATAATCTTTTTGCATGAAAAAGCTTTTTTTACTCTGTCTCCGTCGAACTCGTCATCACCTTGCACTGTTACCCTCATCTCCTTATATCATCCTTCATCTTCGTAAATTATATTGGTCCTCATCATATTTGCTTCTATGTATATTACTCTTATTGTTCTCGCTTATGGCATAAATGACTGCTATCTATCGTTGCTTTAACTCTCCTGGTCTTTTATTCGGTTGGACATGCCCTTTAAGTTTTTTATCTTCGTCAATTTTACTTGCGGCATAAGCACTTCATGATGGAGAGGTAAGTGGAGGAGATCATAAGAGAAAACAACAAAAGCAAGATGATATTGGTAAGAGGCTAACAAGCAAGAGAGGACAAAGAGAAGACATGTAGAGGTGAGATCGACGAGGACTAATGCGGTCCAATGAGGATGATGATACCAAGCGAAAATGATGATCGACAAGGATAATATTATTATTTTTTAAAAAAATCTATTGAGAATTATTGGAAGTTGGGGCATGAATTTATCAAAGAGCATTTTTTTTTATTTTTTAATCTTAAAGAGTGATTTTTCCCATAATATTCAAAAAAATCTCTAGAAGTTTCCAAAATGCTCCTTACCATTTTAATTCCTTAAATAATTTTTTATTAGTTGTTTGACCCGTTAGTATTAAATTTTTTTTTTACTGATGGTTTTATTAAACCGATTGTAGAATGTAATAATATATTGTATAAATTTAAAATAATTTTATGTTTCAAATAATAAAAACATGATAAAATACTAATAGGTAAAATAATATAATAATTTAAATGAATAAACTAAAAAACTTAAGCATTATATAAAAATAATAATATTTGAATTCACTAACTAGATTAGTGAAAAACAGTGAATATGTTTTTCTCATTTGGCATATTCAATGTCAAAAAGTTGGAAAGATAGCTTATAAAAATATAAATAAAAATTGATGATGGAAATCTAATTATAATGTAGACATTACTTATATAAACATTCAGTGCTTAATGGAAAGGGAAAAGATGTAATTATAAACAAGATTAAAAAAAAGAGTGGAAAATGACTTTTTATTTTATTTTAAAATAACATAATCCATTAATGAACATTAAAATAATAACAATAAATCATAGTGTACTAATTATTTGGGTCATCTTTTACTGTGATTGAATTAATAACATTTGAACTTTTATGTATAGTTTTTAGTAATATCTTTTTCGTAAAAACAAAATAAGACGGCGTGGAATCAATTATGTAGTTTCATGTAGTATTATGTTCTTTTCCGGTGTAACTTTATTCTAAAACAACATAATCATAATATGTCCATTAGTGAACATTAGAATAATAATAATAAATCATAATGTTCTAATTATTTAGGTCAGCCATTTGGATCTTTTATTGTGATTAGGTTAATAACATTTGAAATTTTATGTATAGTTTTTAATGCTAACATTTGACATTTGTAGGTCTCCTTAAATAAGTAGATACCATCCTTAAGATGTTCTTCGTTTTATCTCTTATGA